AGATTGGTACTGGCTCACAAATCCCCATCCAAGTTAGCTCACTGTATATAGTTTAAATTTTGGTCACCGTCTAATGATGTATTTGTAATAAATAGAATTATAGTGTTTATTGATATATGCATGTCTTTACAACTATTGCATATGAAGTTATATTTATGTTGGTTACTTTACATCCATAGATGTTTAAGTAGTATTTCAGCCCCATTAATAAGCATCAGCCAATAACACTACTCTGGAACAACTAATAAAAACAGGCCATTTCTTAAACATGTCCACGGTTAAGGTTATGCTTTCAGCCACCGTTGTGTACTTTTCCAATTATCCTTGCCTCTATAGTCTATTCCCAAAGCAGTGATCATACTGATCCCTGTAAAACTGTCAGCTAGGTGGAAAGATGGCTCAGCTGGTAAAGGCATTAATGGCAGAAGCCTAATTCGTAACCTTAGTTCTGTCTCTGAGGTCCAGGCTAAAATTTTTAAAAAAGTAAAAAAGGAAGGTGGGTTGTATACATCTGTCATCCCATCACTCAAGTTGAGATGGATCAGGAGAATATTTCAGAAACTTGCCAGCCAGCCAGCTGGGGGACTCAGTGTAGCATCACAAAGAACAAGAGGGAGAGACCTGACTCCAGGAAGTCGGTTTTGATCTCCACACATCCACCATGGCACCTGAGCCATATCCTATTACTACTCTATTGGGACATCCTGAGCCATATCCTACTCTATCTTTTCTTGGCCTTTATTTCTATTTGCATGTTTGCTTCTCCCGCTCTGCTGCAGTTACAGTAGCTTCCTTGTCACCCAGGATCACGCCACACATCTCTGCCGAGTTTCTTTGCTCTGCGCTTTCCTCCACGTCTATCTGCTTGTCCCTCACTGCCTTACTTCCAAATCACTGTTCCAGTAGGGTCATCCTGAGCATCTACTTACTGCTAGGCCCAGGACATTTTATGGACATAGGTTTGTAATACCTGGCTTACTGCATTGTTGCTTCCTCATGTGGTGCTTACTACCTTCTCCCTCACTCAGAACGGCATGCACATGAAGTCAATGCTTAAGTGCTTAAGTCCCTTTAAACACACCACGAGGAGGTCAATCTTGACTATGCAGGTGGTGACATGAGCATGCATGTTTATAAAATTTGCAAACACAATTTATTTTAACTACAGCTAGTTAAAACCATTACCTTTTTCAATCCAGCGTTTTCTTTTTCATGCTCTCCCTTGCAACAAGTTGTTTTAGAGTTGCTATGGCATTTCTGAAGTATGGCTTAGAGAAAACTGTGTGGATATGTTAGCCCTATTTCTATCACTATAACCAAATGCCAGAGAAAATCAACTTAAATAAAAAAAATGTCTATTCTGCCTCACAGTTGGTTGATTAACTCCAAGGTTTTGACCCTGTGGCAAGGCAGCATAACACAGCATGTCTGTAGAATTTGGAGCAGAAATGCCTTTAGCATCTGGAGTCCCGCCATATGTTCAAGGGTGAAGTAATAGCAACCTAGGATCTACCAGTTGGCCCTGCTGCTAAAGGCTTCCAGACCTCCCAGTTGCAGTATCCTGCATCCTGGCGATGGAACCTTTAACATATGAGCCTTTGCTGGGAATCAAGATCCAAACTGCAGCATGGAGGCATGTTGAGTTTGGACAAAGTGGTCACTTCTCTGTGTAGCCCAGTTGTTATCCTAGCTGTTTTGCTGTAGAGAGATAGCTACTGCCTGATGGTCAGAAAGGGTTCTACTTTCTGTATCACAGAGTGACGGGCAATCTAACATGGTTAACGGAAGGCAAGCCTGCTGTGAAATTAATAGAGCCAGCTAACCAGTAGAAAAATTTTCCACATTTTATAGTTTATAGTTTAAAGAAACCCAATGAAAGGTTTTTATCAAATTCAAACTCAACCCTTAGAGCCTTTATGAGCTAACCAAACAGTTATGACACCAGGAGAAACCTTTCTAATTAGTAATAAGAATTTTAAGTAGCGTATGACAGAAAGGAAAAGATCATCTTTTTTCATGGCCTGATTTTGGTGAGGGGGATTGTGGCTGGGCCAAATTCTCTGTGTTCCTTTTCATAAAAACTGTTATAGAACAACAGTGTAAAGTTCTGATTGGAGACTGGGTCTCGAATAGTTAGTAATTGAGAATATTTGCCACTATATTTAATGTTTATAGTCGTTTTTCTGTGTGAGTTTCAAATGTATGCAAAGTGTGATGTCTTGTTCTTCTAAATGAATATTTAATACTGTCATTCATTTTTGATTTTGTATTCTTCTTGCTGAAGAAGGCCCGGCAAATCATATAAATGTCAGGCTTCTCTAGCTGTACGTTCATATGCCAATATAATTCCTCCTAAATGTATGTATGGCTTGTTGTCTGTCCCTTTATCTTATCTGGCAGACAACAACAATCTCATCAACAGAAATCTTATTCTTTGTTAGTATATTTTAACTTCCTGACCAGGTATGTATTGGTATGTAGGACTCAATATTTTTTGAATGAATACATACATCCACAACATAAAAGTAAACCATTAGTGTCAACCTAATTTAGCCCTGTTCAAGAAAAGTTGATATCAGTATGAAGGAGAATGAAAATACTATGCCACATAGAACACTTTTGGAGTCGCCATGCTTCATGTGACTAGGGACATAGATATAAATTCCTATTTGTAGAAATTCCTATTTGTAATAATTCTTCTGTCATCTTGAGCCATGTTTGTAAAAGGCTCCAGGTTATTATTTTCTAGGTTCTGTGACCATAGAGTGCCAAAGCTAGTCATTGCTGCTTTTGGCATTGCTCTGCTCTATGGGTGAGAATTTCATTTTAAAGCCATAGGAAGTGAAGCTATGCCAAGCTCCTCTAGGAAGCTGTGGCAGTAGCTAGTTTTTCTTAAAACAATGAAGCAATAGGAAAGCAAGCTTTCATTTTTCTACATCTCCTCTGTGGTAGAAACATTCAGCCTAGAGAGCTCTCTGTGTCTAAACACTGCACATGGGAAGTAGAAATAGTTGTCACTCAAAGGAGGGGCAAGGAGCATCTCGAGACTGGCAGTGAGAGTAGGCATAGTTTCCTGAGCTCAAAAACCAAAGGAATGTCCTTTGGAAAGTAGCTTCTTAAAGATTGTTGCTAGGGGAATGGTTTCTTAACTGTGAAAAGCACCGATTTTTCTTAAGCCCCTGGAGAGTTTCAGGGAGTTAGAGGCAGTGTTTCTGTTTTGACTGCACTGTTTTTTTTTTTTGTTGTTGTTGTTGTTGTTTGTTTTTCTTTCTGGTTTTGATTTTTGTCTGCTGGGCCCTTGTTCCGGGACAGAACACCGGAAGTCTCACTATCTGCACTGAAGGAAGCAACCTGCTAATGATGGTGCTAGGTGTGGAGGCAGAGCTCTGCTCAACTGCATCCTCCAGCAGTTAGAGCTTTCGCTGCTGTTTCCTAGAATGCAGTTTCCTGTACTGAGCCCAGAGTCCCGCAAGTCTAGACAGAGGAGCATCAGTAAGTTCTTCAGCCTCAGCCCTAGCAACACAACCAGAGTGGACACCTTCCTGATCGACTCCTGTTGCTTGAGAGTTCCATTTCAGACTAGGGCCCTAAAGAAGTTTTTGGAACAGTAAGATGTTCCTCCTCTTGCCTCAGATTTGCAACTTTAGGGAAACTGCTGGCTGAGAGTTGTACTGTTACCCAGAAAAGTGGTTTCCCTCTCTCTCTCTCTCTCTCTCTCTCTCTCTCTCTCTCTCTCTCTCTCTCTCTCTCTCTCTCTCTCTCTCTCTCTCTCTCCTGCCTCCCTGCCTCCCTCTTTCCCTGCCTCCCTCCCTCCCTGCTTTCCTCCCTCCCTTCCTTTTTCCTTTTTTCCTTCCTTTTATCTCCATCAAGAAAAGACTCTTCCTGTAGTAAAATCCAGTGCTGCCAAGCAGAGGCCACAGGCTGTCCACTGAGCCACTGTGGCTCTGAAGGAGCACTGAGTGGGGCCGTCCCTAAGGTTCTTACATGATTAAATTCTCTCCTCCAACCCCCATCCCCACCTCGATCCCCACTCCCATAGGCTGCAGAAGAGTTATTGTAATACATTATTTTCCAAACTTGGTTAAAACTTACCAAATAAAGTTTGAACTGCCTCAAAAGAACAAAAGACAGTTTTCTTTGCTTTTTAAGAAATTATTCTACTGAATTATCTTCTCTGGAAATAGCACAAGAAATATATAAAACAGTCCACACTAAAATGTGATGGACATATCAGAAACAGAAGAAAAGAATTTTAGAGGGAAAAAAAACACTAAAAAGCAAAGATTTAAATTATTCATCAGGCCTCCCTCTGGCCTGAGTCTTTTCTTGACTAGTGAATGGAGCACCCTGCGTGGATCCTCAGTGTGGGCAGGGGGAGTGTTCACTTTAGTGGGGCCGTCCTGTCAGGACTGGTTTATTCGGATCCTTTTGACCAGAACATTTGCGACTTTGGTTTTTCCTTTTTTTTCCCAGCGACTGTTGCATAATGCAATATTTTTATCTCTGTTTTCAACAACTTGTTGAGTTTGTGCAGTTAAAATGACTGACCTTCCCCCTTCTGTTATGTAATAAACCTGTCAGGTTGAATTTTGTTGAATGAGTCAGAAGACGAAGAGGACACTGATATCTTTTAAATAAGAACTGAGCATTCTCCTTGCCATTTGTGGCTTCATGTTTTTTCCAAGCAGCAGGAGATGAACTAGTTAATTGGCTGCTAGATGACTGTTTGCTGATGTTTGCTCTGTTTCAGCATTTGCTGTGGCCAGAGGTCTTGCTCCCGGCTCCAAACTTTCTTCTATTTTAAGATGATAGGGAATGGGAGTCAGGTTAGTCACTGAGACCAAACAGAAGAACAAGGCCTTCCCTTCTTATCTTAGAACTCTTGACTTTCCATCCAGGTGCTTGCACATGTTCAGATAGTTGGTCTCTTGCTTTACACATGTCCCTGTACATATGTCCACATGTGTTTATTTCTATTTTTCAATGTGTTCATTTTCCAGGTATTTGAAAATGGTAAAGACACTGGGGAGATCTCTGTTTACATCAGTAGAAAAGATTTAAAGTGTGACAGCCCAGGCCAAGGTGACGAGACAATGCAAAGAGTGAGTTATTGCTTGTGTGAACGTAAGCATTCCCCATGTAACTTAGAGTTAATGCAAATAATCGCATCTTAAGGCAGTTTAGAAAATATCAGCCATTTGTTTTCCTACAAGGGGAGGTACAGTTGACTGTCACCTCCTGAATCTTAGCCTAATCACATCTTAACCATCAGTATGTTTGTATATGAAAGTATTTTTATACTGGGCACTGTTTTTGATACATCAAAATTGTTCTCCATTTATTTATTTATTTATTTTTATACTTTAAAAAGAAATTCCATAACGTTTGGTGGAGAGTATACTCTGGGCATAGTATTTCTAAGCCGTGTGCCCGAGTGACTAACACACAGCCTTGGTCTTCCACCATGCTCATTGTGAGCAAATCCTAGGAATTTATCTTGGACACTCTTACCTTTGCCTATTTTCCAGACAATTGGGATGTTTTTCAGACAGAACCAACATGTTCAGGGTCTTTATTTTGAGCTTTTGTCTTGCATAAAAGGACACAGAACACCCCGTTGTTTACAAATTGGGGTTATGCGCCCGAGTGCACACCAGTGTCTTGGGCTCTGTTGCCTCCTCTTTGTTCAGAAGCTTGCTCTCTTCTCTTGCTCAGTACAACACCCTCAGACTTACCTCTCCCTGGAAGCATCCCTTACCTGGCCTGTACAGCCAGTTACAAAAGCTGCTTCTCAGTTGGGTGGCATTCATTAGATCACTGGTTGACCCAGAGGATACAGGAAAATGTTACTTTAATTTATTAGAGAAAGATCCAAAGCCTTAGCTAGTTTCCTTTTATTATCTTGTCAATGACTATAGAAATCAGCATGGTACTAAAGTCTTTCTAGAATTTTCTATCTGTCTCCCAACCTTTTTGCATTGGAGTATTTTATACACTTTAGTAAACATTGACAGGGATACCTTATACATGAAGCTGTTATTCCTTGGAAACTTCATGTATTGACTAATGACTGACTGAAATTGTGCTTTGCTTTAATTTGGAAGTAAATGGGGGTGTGGTTTGCAGAATTTCAATTAGGATCATCATAAAACTCCAGAGAGAGCATCCTAAGTGGTCTGCTCCCTCGTGCAGACACTTGTCTCAATCACTAGTCTAAGAGGTTGTTTTATACTCTTCTCAGATCTGGGAGCAAATTCTTGTCCTGTAAAGGCTCAGTGATGATAGCTTTAAAGATAAATGGATAAAGATTATCACAATTTTTGGTTTCCAGAGCCCAGCCCTGGCCAATGACCTACAGATGAAAGGTACAGAGGCCCTCGTCTCCCGTGGCCTGTTAAATGTTCATCCCTGAACACATAGAGTGCAGTCTGTCACCAAGTTGGGGAAATGGAGACTGCAATGCAACTCCTGTGAAAGTGAATGTGTCTCCTCCACACGCCACTGGCCTTTGTACACAGCCCTGCCCCACAATCAGGCCTTAAATCTATTATGGCTTTCTTACAAAAAAGTGGTGCCTCTAAAGCAAAATCCTTGTGATTAAAAAAAAAATGACTGCTATTACATGCTTTCTGAAATCATAGCAAAGCAAGAAAACTAAATGTAAGGTTTTGGAAATATAATGCATAGATTCCAAAATATATTTGCACTTTCTTTAAGGAAAACAAAACAATGCAGGTTTTCACTAAGGCCTTCACCTCTTAAACTACTAAAGTGAACAGATGTTATTATTGTATTATGTAGAATTTGGCTCTGTTGGGTAAGAAATATTAATTTTAGTGAAACAAAAAGAATTATTTTATCATTTGATGTTCTAAAAGTTTGGCTAACACAGGTCTGATTGACATGAGAGTCAAGGTCATTTTTAGGCTAACACAGGTCTGATTGACATGAGAGTCAAGGTCGTTTTCCTTCCATCAGCCAATGCTTAGTTCTGAGGCATTCTGTAAGTGTGGCTGTTGACCAAAAAGTATTGTACTTAGTCAAGAATTTACGGCCAGTGAGGTGAGACACCCAAAGTGTTCATGGTGACTCAAACTGCACCTCAGCAATGTGTCTTCAGGAGAAATTCCTAGAAGTAAAGAGAGAGAAAAAGAGGAGTCTACCTTCCTGCAAGGACCACAGAGTGATAACAAATTGAGAAGTGCATGAACTGACAAGGAGGAGAAGAAAGGGAGGCCTATGACAGAAGGCTGGGGGAGGGGTCAGAGTGATGGATAGGGTGAGGTGCCGAGCTGGGAAGAGCAGGGGCAGGGAAGCTGAAACAAAGGTGACAGATGATAATGAAAGATGTCTTCTTAAAGTACCTCATGTGCCACAGTTCCATTGGATTAACTTTACATTTGAAATGCGTTTTAATATGAACCCTCTCCATAGCTTTGTCTCTGACTGCAAGAAGCATAGCACTGTCAGTGCTATTATTTAAAACGTGGGGTGACATCACTTCATACTCTCCCTCCAGTTGTGTATTACTCACAACTTGCAGCCATCAGTTCCTGAAATAATTCTCAAGGTTTTCGGGGCTTGCAATTAAAACCCTCAAAGAAGAGTTCTGGAAGAGCCAGCAAAGCCTGAGAGGCATGTCGATTTTTTGCAGTCCTGGAAGTAGGGGATTATTCTGCCACCCAGTTACCTGAAGCTCGTCGGCATAGGGGCATAGCCTGTTGTAACAGCAAAACTTGAATCTGGCATGGAAGGGCCTAACAAACCACACAGTGCAGACAAGACAAGCACAGCTCTCATCAAAGAGGATTGTTACCGGGTGTAGAAGCTAAATGCTCTTTCTGTGAGACTGTCACATCTGCTTTCAGGCACTGTGCCAAAGGGTCAGGGCTCAATCACAAGCCTGTGGCACCCCCTGCTGGTTAAAAGCCCATGCTCATTTTGTTACTTTACACTGAACTAAACATTGCCGTCATTTCACACTTCTTTTAACATTCTATATGAATTTAATTATCGTTTGTTTGGACCAGAGCAGAGACAGTTTGTTACAGATGTTCGCATAGCTTATGTCTTCCTCTTCATCCCCTTCACCTGCCCTCTACCAGTTACTTCTCAGAATCCATCAACGGCTTCAAGGTTCCTCCTCCATCAAGTCACAAGGCCTCCACTTGTCTTCAGCCCGGATTTTCGATGAGCATGGTCAAGAGATTAAGAGTCCACTGCAGCTGAAGAATGGGCAAAAAATTTGGCTTTCTTATGGGAAAACGTACAGGTATGAGCAATGTGCTTATTCGATGTGTCTTCAACGTTTCCTCGGTGAGCTAATTTAGCAAGAAAATTGAGAAGCCATGTAAGACCCTTTAGGAATTAATAAGAAAAAAAAATAACCATTTTTTACTTCCAATAAAATTTAAGGAACATTTTTTTTAGTAAGGCAGCATTGTTTATGGAAGAAATATGACCAACTCCTCTCTCTCTCTCTTTCTCTCTCTCTCTGACTTTCTGTCTTAATGCCTTGTCATAGTTCTTGAGGTCTGCCTGTCAGCACAGCAAGAGGGATTTGTTCATGTCTGAGTAGTCACCTTAATGATAGCAGATGGAAACGCCACGGGGGGCCCAAGCCCATCACACTGTCATTGTCACACACTGCCCTGACCTGCTTCCTCTCCTCTATTTTTTTGTCCCTTTTTAAAGGAGAAATGGATGGTAATTGAAAAGGATCTTAAGCAAGATTTATGAAGCTGTAGACAACATGATTCCCCACTATATCTCTATGTTTTCACAAATAAAGTCTTAACCCCTAAGCACCAATGACAGGACAGCTAAAGATAAATTGGTAAAGCTTACGAACCCTCCCCTATCAAAGTTATGTTCCTCAGAGCGCCTTGCATTAGCTAGCAATAATTACTGGCTATTTGCTGAGCATTGTGTAAATTTTTGTGGATTGGTAAATTCCTGCATAAAATTATCTGTCTTTCTGGAGAAAGAAAAAGGCTGCTGTATCCAGGCACTGACGAGCTGGGCTCTGGTGTTGAATTTCTCAGAAATGTATGCATATTTTGACAGGACACATCCAGATGAGCTCTGAAGCTGCTTGTCAGGAAACTTAAACACAATTTTTGGGGGGGGGACCCATTTTTAATTTTCTTAGCTCATTGTTTAGAGGAAGAACAAAATACTGTTGCGTGTAAGGTTGAATTGATCTTATGTTAATGATAATGAAAACAATAGAGACAGATTTAAATCTCAGCAAATGAGGAACTGATTAGATTTGGAGTTTGCTCAAAATTTCAAACCTCAAACAATAGTCTCCTTAGAAATCCACGAAGGTATCGGGGGTGGAGGGGTATCATATCACAAAATTTTGTTTTGCTTGTCCCAATAGAATAAAATTAAGACACATGCAGTATAATTTATAGAATTAGAATGTACATAAGGAAAGATAACATTTTCACTACAGGAAAAATTCAAGTTAATCTAAGTTAGATTGGGAGTAAAATTATTTTCACAATGATGAAAACAGAGATGGATTTTACAGTAGTAAGACTTTTGGTGTAATTTAGCAAGTCCTTTCCATGGCAGAGAACAGTTCTAATCAAGTGTGCACTGTTAACTTCCTCTTAATGTCGTCATCCAAGTGAAAACAATGACTTTATCATATTTTCTGTAATTCAGTGTTCTAAAAAGATTGAAAGTGTATTCTTGGCTAGTCATATTTGTGAAACACAGAGTACAATGCCAGTAATCTGGGACATTCCAGAATCAGTTGATGGTTGGAGAACTGTGTAAGTTGTAACTCATTGTTATTTTAATGGATGATGTAATTTGTTTTCTAGTTTTGGAAATAAAGCATTAATATGATACAGAGCATAAGGTAACTATGCCAGCATCTTGCCACCACTGGAATTTTTAAAATGTGTATTTCTAAGATTGTATTGGTACATACTTAAAATATACTTAGAAAATGCATAATATTTACTGAGTGAATAGTGTTTTTTTCAGGGAGTATTCTGCTGTGTATAACTTATTTTGACATAGGCAGTCATACTCTTCTATAAAAGTGAATGCTTAAAATTTCCTTCAAATTTTGCATATTTTGAAGAATTTCAAATTGATGACAAGTTGGAAGAATAACATAACAAATATTTTCATATTCTTCATTTTGATCCATCCATTTAATGAACTTTCCTATTTGTTTATCTCTCCTGAAAGCAATTGCAGACAATTATTAAAATTTTACTCCTTAAGTGATTCTGGCAGATTGAAGAATGGAACCTTCTGTGTAACCGCAATGTGTGCCTAACAGTCCATAATAACATGTTATCCTCTGACAACCCCTCTGCAGTCAGTCACCCACAGGTGCTCTGGAGCTCAGTGTACCCAATGGCTAGGTAGACTTCCTCTGCTGTGTTTGGTCCATTTCAGTATCTCCTTTTAATCTAAAACATCTCCTTCACCTTTGTTCTGTTTCTCTTCATGCTTCTCTGTTTTTCAAGAAGTTTAGCACTTTTCTTGCACTATGTCCCACGTGCTGAACTTGTCTGTCTTATCATGATTATATGCAGATTAAATACTATTGGCAGTACTATTTCATAGGCAGCAATGTCGGTTAAATCCTAAATATTTCGCATCTATCTAAACTAGCTTATAGAAGACCATGTTTTTTATTTAAGATGTTTTCAATATGATTTTAATTCTCAAATTCACCTACAACCTTGTGCCTTATAATAGTTATGGAAATTAGATCAATGTAACACTTAACACTTAGTGAACTTATAACATAGTTGTTTCTACTCAGTGTGATGCATTTATTTCATTACCAGTTCCAGATGTACTATGGGTGCATTGAATTAGGTGTACACTTGTTTTTCTCAATTATAGTCTTTCACTGGTATAATTCTTTTTAGTTGTACATATTGCAGCCACACTCAAATGTGCATTCAAATGTCACTATGGGAGTTATTAGGTCTTATTAGATATGGGCGTCAAATACCTTATTGTTTGGGCTCCATTTTCAATGTGTATTATGGAAGTAGCTTAAGTAGATTTTCTTTTTCATTTTTTCAGATCTCCACTAAGCCCTGTTTTGGCTCTGACCTTTGACCGAGTGGCTGCTTTTGCCAGAGATGGCACCACGGCTGTCTATAAGACTGTTAAGGATGCTGATGCTGCTCTACTATTTGGATGTGATGAGTAAATTAATGTATATTTAATTAAAGTAACCCATCACCTAATTCAGGATTTCCCACAGTGAGAGATCTGAAACACTGAAATAATTTCTTTGAATTGCCTTAAGCAATAATACTTGTATTGATTTACTTCATGGTCTAATGGGGTCAGGCCTAAATGACTTAGCAATAAATATCCCTTTGTTTTAAAAGGACTATATGGGGACGATGAGCAGTTTCTTGCTTTAAAGAAGTCACAATTTCATTTAAAATATAAAATTTGTTTTATGATTATTTCCAAATTAATGACTTCAAGTGAATTCATTACAATAAACATAGTTTTTCTTCAAACTTTCATATTTAAATTCTAGATTTGATGATGATGAAATGAAAACTAATACAGTGTACCAGGCTCCATGAGACAGTGGAAGGTGAAGTCAATGATTCTTGGGAGGATCTGGAAGTATAGCACCGTTTTGTTCATAATTGCCCGTGAACAGTTTCTTATCTGTAAATAATAAAAACTGTCACCTATTCATTGCTGACTTATAAATTAATGGTATACCTTCTTTATTTAATTTTCAAACAATGGTTTAGCCCCAGCAGTCTCTGTTATCACTCCATTTTTTTCAGAGACAAACCAAGAAGAGAAGAAATGATTTTCCCAAGTTCACACTGCTGACACATGATGAGCCAGGACTCAAACTGGCATCGTTGGTCTTAATGACCTTGATGTTTTCCCACCAGGCCGTACATGATGATGGAGGCAGGGTCTATGACTGGTTGAAATGTGACTACTGGGTCTACGAAACTTAGTTTTATAATTTATTTACATTATATTAAACTTAAATACCATATTGTGATAGCATATTGGTTGTGGAAGCATGACACCTATGCCAAATTGGGCTGGGTGACCTCTCTGGATATTCCCATGTAGCTTTACTACTGTATAATTTAGCAAATTACATTTCTTTAGTATATATCTAAAAAGGATAGAGTAGAGGGCATAGCCAAAAATTCAAAATCATTTTGTTGAGGTTCATTCATTCTAGGCAGGGACAATGCATTGTCAAAGCAAAAGGGTATATATGCTGTTTCTGTGGCCCTAACCCCATTGACTACTTCTGCTATCCATGTAAGTATTAGATATGTTCTCTCTGTTCTCTGTTTGCTTGGTAGAGAGAAAACAATTTACCAGAATTCCTTTTTAATGAGTATTTTTCCATTTAGAGGAAGGTTTATTTTGTGTGTAGAAATCTTTCTTAAATTTGCTTAGAGCCGGCTGGTGAAATGGTTTAGTAGGTAAAGGCGCAAGCTTGGCACCATGAGTTCAATCCCCAGAGCCCACATAAAAGTGGGAGATATGAACTCACTCTGCAAAATTGTCTTCTGTCCTCTACATGAACACTGTAGCATGTATGCCTCCACCACACACATATGTCATGAGTGTATGTGTATACACACGTGATAATAGAAATGTATTAGACAATTCTTTTTATTATTTTTTATTTTTTAATTTAAATATAAATTATAAACAAGGTTGCTTCACATGTCAATTCCAGGTCCCTCTCCATTTCCCTCCCCTCCTCCTGTGCCCTCCCACCAATCCCCCCAATATCCCCTCATTTCCCCAGGGAGGGTGAGGCCCTCCATGGGGGTTAGACAATTCTTTAGAAGAAAAATTGCCTAGAGCCTTCCCCTTAGATTTCTAGTGAAAAGTTTAGATTTTGGTTCATGTACCCTGCTGTCTACTGCTGAGCCACATACCTTACCCCTCACATAGTAATTTTGAATTTTGTTTTGTTGGGAGCAAAAAGTACTGTTTTGCTGAGGTAATTGGGCCCTTAAGGATAACTTGCCTTTTACCTAAAATCTACTACTTTGCTCTTGATTAGTGTGTCTCCCAGTAAAACAATGCTCCTTTCTGTTTAGCTGGCCTCCATGTGTACTCTGAGTTAAACACACAAGACAAAGGATTGGAAGCTAGGGCTCACATATAAGGGAACTCACTGTGTTGTCTTTCTGGGTCTGAGTGACCTCACCTAGGATATGAGTCATACTCCATCATGTGCATGTGCCACACTTTTCTTAACCATTTACCTGGAAATAGACACTTAGGTTGATTCCTAGCTATTAAAAAATAGAGCAGCAAAGAACATGGGTGTGACAATTGTCTCTGTAATAGGTTATTAAGTTCCAAGACTGGTTTCTACTGGATAACATGCTGCATAGCAGTGGTTATCAACTTGTGGGTCATGATCCCTTTGAAGGTATCCTATATATCAGGTATTTACATTATAATCCATAACAGTAGCAAAATTAAACTTACAAAGTAGCAATGAAATACTTTGATGGCTTGTTGTCACCACAACATGAGAAACTGTATTAAAAGAGTTATAGCATTAAGAAGGTTGAGAACTACTGCTCTATAGTATGATCTACCACAACATGAGAAACTGTATTAAAAGAGTTATAGCATTAAGAAGGTTGAGTACTACTGCTCTATAGTATGATCTACCACAACATGAGAAACTGTATTAAAAGAGTTATAGCATTAAGAAGGTTGAGAACTACTGCTCTATAGTATGATCTAACACAACATGAGAAACTGTATTAAAACAGTTATAGCATTAAGAAGGTTGAGTACTACTGCTCTATAGTATGATCTAACACAACATGAGAAACTGTATTAAAAGAGTTATAGCATTAAGAAGGTTGAGAACTACTGCTCTATAGTATGATCTAACACAACATGAGAAACTGTATTAAAACAGTTATAGCATTAAGAAGGTTGAGTACTACTGCTCTATAGTATGATCTAACACAACATGAGGAACTGTATTAAAAGAGTTATAGCATTAAGAAGGTTGAGAACTACTGCTCTATAGTATGATCTAACACAACATGAGGAACTGTATTAAAAGAGTTATAGCATTAAGAAGGTTGAGTACTACTGCTCTATAGTATGATCTACCACAACATGAGGAACTGTATTAAAAGAGTTATAGCATTAAGAAGGTTGAGAACTACTGCTCTATAGTATGATCTAACACAACATGAGAAACTGTATTAAAAGAGTTATAGCATTAAGAAGGTTGAGTACTACTGCTCTATAGTATGATCTACCACAACATGAGAAACTGTATTAAAAGAGTTATAGCATTAAGAAGGTTGAGAACTACTGCTCTATAGTATGATCTAACACAACATGAGAAACTGTATTAAAAGAGTTATAGCATTAAGAAGGTTGAGTACTACTGCTCTATAGTATGATCTAACACAACATGAGAAACTGTATTAAAAGAGTTATAGCATTAAGAAGGTTGAGAACTACTGCTCTATAGTATGATCTAACACAACATGAGAAACTGTATTAAAACAGTTATAGCATTAAGAAGGTTGAGTACTACTGCTCTATAGTATGATCTAACACAACATGAGAAACTGTATTAAAAGAGTTATAGCATTAAGAAGGTTGAGAACTACTGCTCTATAGTATGATCTACCACAACATGAGGAACTGTATTAAAAGAGTTATAGCATTAAGAAGGTTGAGTACTACTGCTCTATAGTATGATCTACCACAACATGAGAAACTGTATTAAAAGAGTTATAGCATTAAGAAGGTTGAGTACTACTGCTCTATAGTATGATCTACCACAACATGAGAAACTGTATTAAAAGAGTTATAGCATTAAGAAGGTTGAGAACTACTGCTCTATAGTATGATCTAACACAACATGAGAAACTGTATTAAAAGAGTTATAGCATTAAGAAGGTTGAGAACTACTGCTCTATAGTATGATCTAACACAACATGAGGAACTGTATTAAAAGAGTTATAGCATTAAGAAGGTTGAGAACTACTGCTCTATAGTATGATCTAACACAACATGAGGAACTGTATTAAAAAAGTTATAGCATTAAGAAGGTTGAGTACTACTGCTCTATAGTATGATCTAACACAACATGAGGAACTGTATTAAAAGAGTTATAGCATTAAGAAGGTTGAGAACTACTGCTCTATAGTATGATCTAACACAACATGAGAAACTGTATTAAAAGAGTTATAGCATTAAGAAGGTTGAGTACTACTGCTCTATAGTATGATCTACCACAACATGAGGAACTGTATTAAAAGAGTTATAGCATTAAGAAGGTTGAGTACTACTGCTCTATAGTATGATCTACCACAACATGAGAAACTGTATTAAAAGAGTTATAGCATTAAGAAGGTTGAGAACTACTGCTCTATAGTATGATCTAACACAACATGAGAAACTGTATTAAAAGAGTTATAGCATTAAGAAGGTTGAGAACTACTGCTCTATAGTATGATCTAACACAACATGAGGAACTGTATTAAAACAGTTATAGCATTAAGAAGGTTGAGTACTACTGCTCTATAGTATGATCTAACACAACATGAGGAACTGTATTAAAAGAGTTATAGCATTAAGAAGGTTGAGAACTACTGCTCTATAGTATGATCTAACACAACATGAGAAACTGTATTAAAAGAGTTATAGCATTAAGAAGGTTGAGAACTACTGCTCTATAGTATGATCTAACACAACATGAGAAACTGTATTAAAAGAGTTATAGCATTAAGAAGGTTGAGTACTACTGCTCTATAGTATGATCTACCACAACATGAGGAACTGTATTAAAAGAGTTATAGCATTAAGAAGGTTGAGTACTACTGCTCTATAGTATGATCTACCACAACATGAGAAACTGTATTAAAAGAGTTATAGCATTAAGAAGGTTGAGTACTACTGCTCTATAGTATGATCTACCACAACATGAGAAACTGTATTAAAAGAGTTATAGCATTAAGAAGGTTGAGAACTACTGCTCTATAGTATGATCTACCACAACATGAGAAACTGTATTAAAAGAGTTATAGCATTAAGAAGGTTGAGAACTACTGCTCTATAGTATGATCTAACACAACATGAGGAACTGTATTAAAAGAGTTATAGCATTAAGAAGGTTGAGAACTACTGCTCTATAGTATGATCTAACACAACATGAGGAACTGTATTAAAAGAGTTATAGCATTAAGAAGGTTGAGAACTACTGCTCTATAGTATGATCTAACACAACATGAGAAACTGTATTAAAAGAGTTATAGCATTAAGAAGGTTGAGAACTACTGCTCTATAGTATGATCTAACACAACAATGATGACACAGGTCATTGCTTTAGGGTTAAGTATTTGCTAACATTTAAGACATTTGTCTGTACTAAAAGTGAAACCCAATCTTTTTAGATTGCATTTTCTCAGGGATTCCCAATAATCTGCTAGGCATTTACAGCCTCTCTTGCAAATTCTGAACCAAGATATTTGATCAACTAGTATAAGTATCAAAAAGCCCTTTGTTATTTATAGCATAGTATATTTGTACTTGGCAAAGGTGATAGTCTCCACTACAAACAATTCTCAATAATTATTTTTACTTTCTATTAAGAATTAAAGATTGAATGCCCCAATACCATAATAACAAGATAAAATTTAAAAGTTTTTCTCACTTACAAATGTTAATATATTTTACAAGTCTTTTGTGTCACACCATTTCACTACTAGAGAATATTAATCATAAAATACAATGTAAATAAAGAATATTATAATGTTTTTATTTTGTCAAAACTAATTATAATATCTTATTGTTGTTAGTTGGACAGTTTGTGAAGGATTTCCAGTGAACATTAAGTGCACCAGTCAACAGATCCCTGATTGCTTCAGAAAGGTGGCCTTGGAGAGCCATTTCCTACAGAACAAGGTCAGAACATATGTGCTGTGACAGGACCAGTTTTGTGTATTAGGCATTCAGCTATTGTATTACAGTTATACAGTGGCTATTTTTTAAAGAACAGTCTTACATATAGAAATTGTTTTTTAAATGTTTAGGCAGGCATTTCTGTATACTTCTTAAGTATTTCTAACCTTTCATACTGTAGAGTGTTCACACTTGGAAATATTATGCTTGGATTGTGTTATATTGCTTGTCATAACTTTTCATTCAGGAATAATTAACAAGTTAGGACTCTTTTATTTATTTATTTTTATTTGAATTAGAAACAACCTTGCTTCACATGCCAATCCCAGCTCCCTCTCCCTCCCCCTCCTCCACCTCCCCCCCAACCGCCAAACCCCCACCCAATCCCCACAGGGTGAGGCTCTCCATGGGCTATCTCCAGAGTCTGTTATTACATCCTGGGCAGGGCATAGGCCCTCCACCATGTGCCCAGGGTGAGAGAGCATTCCTCCACGTGGGATGAGCTCCCAAAGTCCATTTGTATGCTAGGGATAAATACTGATATTTATAGATTGCTGAGGCCCCTTCGCTGACACCCAAATTTAGGGGGTCTGGATCAGCCCCATGCTGTTCTCTCAGTCATTGGTCTGGGGTCCAAGAGCTCCTCCTTGTTCAGGTCAGCTGTCTCTGTGGGTTTTACCAGCTAGGTCTTGACCCCTTTGCTCATCACTCTTCCCTCTTTGCAACTGGGTTCCAGGAGTTCAGTTCAGTATTTAGCTGTAGGTGCCTGTCTTTGCTTCCATCAGCCACTGGATTAAGGCTCTAGGATGGCATTTAAGGTAGTCATCAATCTCATTAAGGTGGTTGTCAAACTCATTATCAGGGAAGGGCATTTAAGGTAGCCTCTCCATTATTGCTTAGATTGCCAGTTGGTGTCATCCTTGAAGATCCCTGGAAATCTCACTAGTGCTAGATCTCTCCTCAAACCTATAATGACTCCCTCTATTATGGTATCTCTCATCTTGCTCTCCTCTATTCTTCCCCCGACTCAACCTTCCTGATCCCTTATGTCTTCCTCTCCCCTTGTCTTCTCCCCCTCTCTTTTTCCCAGCTCTATCTCCCCTTTCCCCATTCTCCCAATCCGCTCAGGAGATCCTATCCCATTCCCCTTCTCTGGGGTACCATGTATATCTCTCCTGTTTTCCAGACTCTGGCAGTGGGACTGTAGACTGGTACTTCCCTGATCCATGTCTAAAATCCATATATGAGTGAGTACATACCATGTTTGTCTTTTTGTGACTGGGTTACCTCACTCAGTATGGTTTCTTCTAGTGCCATCAATTTGCCTGCAAATATCAAGATTCCATTGTTTTTTTCTGCTGAGCAGTACTCCATTGTGTAAATGTACCACATTTTCTCTATACACTCTTCAACTGAGGAGCATCTAGGTTGCTTCCAGGTTCTGGCTTTTGGAAATAATGGGGCAGATATCCATGTTGTATGAATGTGCATCTTTTGGGTATATGCCTGAGAGTGGAATTGCTGGATCTTGTGGTAGACTGATTCTCATTTTCTTGAGGAATCTCAATACTGATTTCCAAAGTGGTTGTAAGAGTGGGCACTCCTACCAGTAGTGGAGTAGTGTTCCCCTTTCTCCACATCCTCTCCAGCATAAGCATAAACTGTCTTTGGTGTTTTTGATTTTAGCCATTCTGACAAGAGTAAGATTTAGGTATCTCAGAGTTGTTTTGATTTGCATTTCCTTAATGGCTAAGGATGTTGAGCACTTAAGTGTCTCTCAGCCATTTTAGACTCCTCTGGTGAGAATTCTATATTTAGTTCTGTACCCCACTTTTTAATTAAATCCTTTGGTGATTCGGAGTCTTGCTTCTTGAGTTCTTTGTAAATTTTGGAGATCTGTCAGATATGGGGTTAGTGAATATATTTTCCCATTATGTGGGCTGCCTTTTTGTCTTGTTGACTGGGTCCTTTGCTTTATAGAAGCATCTCAGTTTCAGGAGATCACATTTATTACTTGCCAATCTCAGTGTCTATGCTACTGGTTTTATGTTCAGGAAGCAGGCTCCTGTACCAATTCATTCAAGGGTACCTCCTACTTTCTCTTGTAAGAGTTTCAGTGTGACTGGATTTATGGTGATGTCTTTGATCTATTTGGAATTAAGTTTTGTGTATGGTGATAGACATGGATCTATCTGCAGTCTTCTACATGCCAGCATCCAGTTATGCCAGCACCATTTGTTGAAGATGCTTTCTTCTTTCCATTGTATAATTTTAGCTTCATTGTCAAAGATCAGATGTTTGTATGTGTATGGGTTAATGTCAGGGTGTTCAATACGATTACTCTTTATTTTTCTGCCAATACCAAGCTGTTTTCAGGACTGTAGCTCTATAATAGAGCTTGAAGTCAGGGATGGTGATGCCTCTGGATGTTCCTATATTGAACAGGGTTGTTTTGGCTATTCTAGGTCTTTTGATTTTCCATGTAAAGTTGACAATTGTTCTTTCAAGGTCTGTGAAGAATTGTGCTGGGATTTTGATGGGGATTGCATTGAATCTGTAGATTGCTTTTGACATGATTGCCATTTTTGCTATGTAGATTCTACCTATTCAAGAGCATGGGAGATCTTTCCATTTTCTCGTATCTTCTTTAATTTCTTTCTTTAAAGCCTCAAAGTTCTTGCTATACAGGTCTTTCATTTGTTTGGTTAGCATTACCCCAAGGTATTTCATGTTGTTTGTGGCAATTGTAAAGGGTGATGTTTCTCTGATTTCTTTCTTAGCCCTTTTATCATCTGTATATACTAGGGCTACTGATTTTTTTGAGTTGATCTTTGTAGAGTGAAGCCTTCCTGCCAGCCTGGTTCCAGAGCTGCATCAGTCCCAAATGAACACACAGAAGGCTATATTAATTATGAAGCTGTTGGCCGTTTGCTTGTTTCTTGCTGGCTAGCTCTGCATTAAGTATTTAACTCATAATTGTTAATCTAAGTATTTCTCTTACCAGAGAAAAGGTTCTGGACCTCTTATTCCTATGGGGCTACATCATGACTGACTCTGCCTCTATTTCCCAGAATCCTCCTTGACTCCGAGTCCCACCTATCTTGCTTCCCTATTGGCCAACAGTGCTTTATTGACATACACAGCACTTCCTTATCATCTTCTCTTTTCTGTCTAAATATAAAGAAAGGTTTTAACTTTAACATAGTCAAATTATATATAACAGAACAGTTATCAAGTAAGAACATAGTTACAATATTTTGTCCATTAACATTTAGTGAGATTTAAAGAAAATATCTATTCTATCTTTGTGAGTCTAAAGTCTTATATGTAGCTTATCTTTTATCATAACTAAGGAAAACTATAATTGTAACTATCTGTCTTCAACTCCATCAAAGACCACAGAAGTATAAGATATAAACACTAGGATTGACAGAGACATCTCGGTGCCTGAAGAGTCACGTAAAGTTTTTCTGTAATGTTGGGGCATCCATCTTCAGCTCATAGGCCACAATGTGTCCAGAATACTTCTCAGTAACATAGGAAATTTCAAACTGTCCTTCTGCATTTGTAGTCTGTCATTCATTTTTCTGTGTCCTGCAGAAAGTCTGGTAGACTCTTACATGAAGCAGGAAGCCTGTACGACTTTTTGAGTTCAGCAGTCACTTTCCTGTGGGTCCTACATGTCCAGTTTATATAGCAACAGTCAAGCAGTCCAGGCAAGAGCAGTTTCTTGCCCAAATGACTCATCTCGCCATGTTGAAAGCAAACTCCATAACAAATTTCTTCAATGCCCAACTTCTTCTCAGACGTAATTGGTGTTGCCAGGAGCAGACATTTTCTCACTGTCAAGAAAAACCCTAAACCATTTTAAATGACATTTTCTGAAGGTCTTTGAAAGGTTTGAAGACTATCTATCTATTTCAAATATATTTTTGTACATCTAGAAAACCTAACTAACCTAAGTTCTAACTATTGTAAGTAACTATCTATAATCTGTATTTAATTATGTATTATGTTTTAAAAGATCAGTATAAGCACAATACTTAATCAAGAGGAGAAATATACACATCACAAAATTGACCTTGAATTTGTATCAATAAATGAAAAGCCATACCCATGTCAAGTATTCATTTCCATACCATAATTCCCCTTTTTCCATTAAAAAGAGATTGGTCTTGTATCCTGCCACTTTGCTAAAGGTGTTTATGAGCTGTAGGAGTTCCCTGGTAATTTTTCATGTTTCTTATGTAAAATATCATATCATCTGCAAATAGTGAATGTTCAACTTCTTTTCCAATTTGTATCCCCTTGATCTCCTTTTGTTGTTTTATTGCTCTAGCTAGAACTTCAAGTACACTATTGAAGAGGTATGGAGAGAGGGGACAGCCTTCTCTTGTTCCTGATTTTAGAGGAATTTCACTGAGTTTCCCTCCATTTAATTTGATGTTGGCTGTTGATTTGCTGTATATAGCTTTTATTATGTTTAGATATGATCTTTTTATCCATGATTTCTCCAAGATCTTTATCATGAAGGGGTGTTGAATTTTGTCAAAGACTCTTTCAGCATGTAGTGAGATGATCATGTGATTTTTTGTTTCTCAGCTTGTTTATATGGTGGATTACATTGATGAATTTTCATGTGTTGAACCATCCCCGCATTCCTGGGATGAAGCCTACTTGATAATGGTGGATAATTTTTCTGATGTGTTCTTTGATTCCATTTGCCCGTTTTACTGAGTATTTTTGCATCAATGTTCATAAGGGATATTGGTCTGAAGTTCTCTTTCTTCGTTGTGTCTTTGTGTGGCTTGGGTATCAAGGTTATTGAAGCCTTGTAAAAAGAGTTTGGCAATGACCCTTCTGCTTCTATTATGTGGAATACTTTGAGGAGAATTGGTATTAGCTGTTCTTTGAATTTCTGGTAGAATTCTGCACTGAGGCCATCAGGCCCTGGGCTTTTATTTTTTTCTTGGGAGTCTTCTGATGACTGCTTCTATTTCATT